GATTTCCTTTTTAGCAATTGAACCTGATTTTCTTGACATGAATTTCCAAGATCCTAATTTCACTCATTATTATGAATTTGTAGGTTCTAACACTACCTTCAGTCTTCATTACCCAAGAAAATTAACAATGATATCCTGATTAAGAGATGAGTAAATAATTGATAGCAAAATTTATATCTATTATTTGGTTTATTAATTGATGGTTGAAGGTCACACTTGGGTAGCATTGTAATAGCTATGTTAAAAAAAAGGAGGTTTGAGTGGCAGTGACAATTTGAAAGTAACTGTCGAGACGGTTCCCTCATTAGGAGATAAGTTTCAATCGAATCAGATGAAACAAAGAAGTCAAAAGCAAGATGAGAGCAGAAGACAGGAGCAAGGGTGAGAAAACAAGAAGAGCAACTAAAAGAGGAAGAGAGACTTACATGAATCTCGAGCCTTAAATTGACACCATTCGTGGTGTTCAGTGTATTCATTTGAAGGTGACGACATTGGGAGAGTGTCATGTACGAAGGAGAAGGGAAGGAGGAATAGGGGGTAGCTTCGAGCGTCGTGTTGTGAGCAAGGAAGGAGTTTAGTGTGGGGAATAAGCTTTGCGTGCATGTGACCTAATGTGAAGAGAGAGAAAAAGAGAGATCAAAAGGCTTGTGTGTCACAACTTGACCTCAGACTTGGAATTAACTAAGACGGGAACGGAAAATCGAACGGTAAAAATAAATTCTCTATTATTTTATTTATCTCACAAACAATGAATATTCAAATATTCATGAAAGAGTAACTAGAGAAATCAATTAAATTAATAAGTAGAAGTTTTACATTTTCGGTTGTTGTTTTCGCCTCCTACACACATTTGCTCCACTTCTATCCATCTTGCCAAAAAGCTTAGAGCCTAAAAAAAAATTAAACATCGTAAATTATCTAAAGATAACCCATGAGTAATCACACTTGTAAACTACAACAATCCAAGAAAAAAAATTAATATGGCTACTAGTCTTTCATATCTCTATAAGAAAATTGGGATATGCTAATCATTTATATTTTTATAAGAAATCTTTGAATATACTAAAGCATATATCAATAATGACATTTTCTAAATGAAAATATTCTAAACTTCTATATTTATTAACTTTAACTTCTTTTTACTTTATACTCTTAACATACACATATGTCTGTCTAAGGATCACTGCCAAAATAACCTAACACGTCTCTGGTCGATATTATCATGTATACACAACGGTTAGCAATCAAAATATCACAATTGTCTGAGATGGATAGGTCCTTACTCAGCCCTGACAAATAATCTCTAATGGACACAGCAGTTAGCGATTTAAATATCATAATTGTCAGAGTGGTAAGTTTTGTCTACTTGAATCTGACCGATATTCTCCTTTCGGCACAACGAATAGTGATCAAAATATTACAATTATTTGGGATAGTAGGAAAATATCTATGCGCGCGAGTACACTGAAGTCCCTTGCCTGTACCATTAGAAGTGAACTCCTCTCAAAATGCAAATACAAGCTTTTACATATAAGCTAATCCATTTTAACATATCATGCATTCTTTTCTTATGAAGCACTTTACATCTATTTACTGCTGAATAAATGCAATCTTACTATATTCCCAAGTCATGAAATAAACTGATATTTGCACATTTACTAAAATATATATATATATATATATATCTATCTATCTGTGTGTGTGATTATGTGGCAAACTAATATGTATACCCCTACTAGAGTCATGCAATGATTTCTAAACTAAATTGTTATGCTACTATATTTAACACGCATACTTATTATAATGTACAATTATTTGTCTTGCATATCTTTCCTATCATGCATATATTACATGTCTGACAATATGAAGAATTTATTATTGAATTAAGGCATATATGAAATCAAACATACATTGTAAAATAAAGATAATTACTGTAATTTAAAAATATAATTACTCGCCTCAATCTTCAAAAAAAACTTCTTCAAAAGCTTATTTCTCCACTTAACCTGTTAACCTTAGTTACTATAACTCCAATTTAATGCTTAAAAATGCTTTCAGTTTTAACAAAAGTAATCTAAATTAAACAAATTATTTTACCTTAGGGGCTCGGTTTACTTCCTCGCACTCGAGGCTCCTCTAGGCTCCTCCTTCCTCTCCTAATCAATTTAGTTCGGCCTTTACTCTTTTACCTATACTTTCAAATATTGAATTATAATTAAACACATAATATATTCAATTAAATATACTAATTCAATTTATAAAATTAATCCCTTACCTCCTTGTATGACTTCTTTCTCCTCTAGCTTGAGTATTTTTTGTCGTTGATTTCTGATTTAAGAAAAAGTAATATCAACCATTAATATAAATTGAATTTACTTATATTTTAATAACTGATATAATTCTACACTCAACTCAATTATGTTGATCCTATCTTCATTCAATTTGAGATTTTAATAGTTAAGATCTTGATTTTAAAAATACGCACAATTAACAATTAAAGAATAAATTTAAGGATAAATAAAATTTACTAATTAAATTATAAAATAACACAATTAACATTAAAACTCATTCAGCTACCTTACGCCCTCCCCGTATGTATGCTAAGGTTGCAGGCTTGGAGTCCCCTTATCTTCCTCCACAACTTCAATCAAGACACTATGCAACTCCTTACTTCTCCTTACTTCTTCACATCAAAGCCGCTTGACGCCTCTTCCCTCAATTAGTTAGACACAAGCCGCTCGTCCTGCAAACAAAAATGCTCTTCTCGTCCTGCAGACCGCATCTTCTCCTTCACACTCTTCTTCCTTTTCTTCTTCTTCGCTCGACCTTCCACCTCTCAACAAAGTCGCATCCCTACTTTTCTCCCCGCTCCTCTTCTACTTATGGCTAGGGCATAGGCTTCTTTCTCACGTAACGACGTCGAACCTAAGCACGAACCGCTCATTCCTTCGATAAGAGTTGGTCTTCTAGCCCGCTTTGTTCCTCATAGGTAAATCTTCCCCTTCTCCTCTCATCGCCGCTGCTTATCGTTCGTTGCTTCTAGCTCTCTTCAATTCATTTCGTTCAATTTGAAAGGATATATGATTCATTAAGCAATCACAAAAGGATGCTTCTACTCGATTTTTTTTTCCAGATATTACATTGCGAGTGTTTTGTGTGGATTCGAGCTAAAATGGTGGGGAGAAAGGAGTATGCAACTTGAACGCTAGCCAAAAGATTTTTGGATTGCAACAGGGAAGGATTGACGACAGTGAATGTGGAAAAAGGGTTTATAGTTTTATTTATATAAATTATTTTAAATTAAATGTTATTAAGTGAATATTAAATATTATGAGCCAAAACCAGTGATTATAATTATGATTAAAATGCAGATCAGAAATTAGAGACACAAGAATAATCAGATTTGAAGAAAGAAGAAGACAATTTGCGACAATAAATGTTAGTTATCAATTAAATTATATATTATTATGTACCGAAATAGGTTTTATTACTAATTAAAATCAGAAAGCAAAAGTAGAAGGATATTTGGAATGAAAATAAAGGATAGATGGTCACATCAATCAAGTTAAGATTTTTACTATATAAGCTAAGGTAGTGATTAAATTCAAATGAAATTATACGCACTAAATATGATTTCATAAATTAATTTGAGGAATCCAATTTAAGATATCAGAAACTAAAGATTTGAAAGGGTTATTTTATAATGTGAATTTGATATGAGAAGTTACTATTTTATATGCATTACATTTATTTTCTTTTATTTAAAGGCAGTTGTGCTTTCAAATAAATATCTCATTACTTCATAAGAGCTTACAAGTATTTATTTGATTAAAATATAATTAAAAAATGAAATAATTGTTTTGTGATTTGCACTGCTTCACCATTTGCCTTCCACAAAAAGTAAAATAAATTTAATGATTGAACGAAATTAAATATAACTTGAATAAAAGAAAAATGATCAAGTCTATCATGAATCGCCCCTTATGATACTAGCTGGAGACATTATTTTATTCATGCGTCTTAAATATAAAAGAAGTGATAATGATTGAAAATTTCTTGGTACTAAATGGTAAAAAAATAAAAAAAGATCATACCATTATTGATACAATTTTATACGACGCTCGAGAAATGAATTCTTAAAATAAAAAGAAACAAAAATATAATTGATTAAAAAGATGAAAATGTAAATGATTAAGATGATTAAAAAAAATTTAATAAATAAAAAATATAAAGTTTACTTGATCAACATATTCCTTTGTGCAATCATGTTAGACATTTGCATATAATTACTTGATGCAAAATAGAGTAGTAATTTTTCATTAAGTTACATTTGCATATAATTATTTGATGCAAAATAGAGTAGTAATTTTTCATTAAGTTGTTTTAAACTTAATTTGTTATTTAAATTTTCTTTCATTAAAAAAAAATTATAATAGACTGATATGATTGATATGAGAGAATTTGTTTATAAAAGGAGCGGAATTATGGAAAATAGGTAGTAGATTGTTTTATTGAAAATAGGAATTATTGAAAACAGGATTTTCCTCAAAAGAAACAAAATTTAACTGGATTTTCCTCAAAAGTCCCTTCAAACTATGAAATTATTGTCCTTTACAACATGCATGCTGGTTGGCCTTTTACTTTCCTAGAAAAAAAGTTGACATGTTGGCTGGCAAGTCTGGAGCCTAAACTTTGATATTTCACTTTTAAAATGCTAGTGAGAGTGGTATTTTTAATGTGATGTTAAGGATTTAAGAGCTATGCATGTAAATATAAATGTTTAGGTGTTAGATATGTAAATATATAAGAATTATGCAGCATGTATTTAAATGCCCCAAAAAATTATCTCACTTTGTTAACAAATCAGGCTGCCACAAGGCAATAAGTGCTGTTATTGGAGAAGCAAAATATTAATATATTGGCTGGCAAGTCTGGAGCCTAGTACGGTATAGAGATAGAATGTGCAAGAAAAATCAAGGAGAAAATACTACCAAACTTACAGTTTCGATTTGAAGTCCAAAGTTTCCATTTGACAACGTTGAATCGCTGCTTAAAATTTCAAACTCCCAGTTTGGCACATAAACGCCAAGAAGTAAGGCAATATACATTGCAGAAAGCACGACAGCAACAATCCTTCACAGAAACAATAATTTAGCGCATGAAATATTGTTAATTTTCAAGCCTATATGATAAGCAAACTAAGATTTCATAGTATTTAAAAGTTGATTAGCGTCCTTGAGATTATCACCTACTAAAGTTGATGCTAAAATACTAGAAACTTTTTGGGAGAGTTACATAAATAACATCCGAATCTTATCTTTTTACAAAACTAACCATGTCAATTTTTTGGAACTATTTGCAAATGACAGTATTTGAGTGGTTAGTCAGCACGTGCAAAATCCAAGGAAAAAGTGTTAGGAAGTTATTATTCAAATCCTCAAATGTATAAAAGTCCCCCAAAAGTGAATTATTATAAACTAAATCCAAGCAATTGAACATTCAAGCATAAATGAAAGCAGATTATGTTAGCTTTATTTAAGAAAAAAGTCAACATCCAGATATTGCAGAAAGAGCAAAAAAAGTGGATGATTGTATGTGGAAGTTGAATGCAGAGCCATGGCACAATATGCATTCAAATTGATGTGAGCTAATACCCATTTAGGATAACTTGATTAACTGTTACTCGGCTCATAATGTTATACTCGGAATCGTTCCACCATCCACATTATCAGCAATCTTATTTTTCAGCTACGCATTACAAATATCAAAGTAGATCATCACTTCATAAGAAATATTTTATTTTCCAAAAAAAAAATCACTTATAATGTCTCCAATTTAATTAAGTGGTGGAAATTTTTACCAAAGGTAATACAATACTTGCATTTGGAAATTTTCACCAAAGGTAATACAATACTTGCATTTTTCTCATTCACAGAACAAGATGAAGCTCGCAAATATATACTCCAAATCTAATCAAGTGATGGAAATTTTTACCAAAGGAGCTATAATGCCTGCATTTTTCTCATTCACAGAACAAGATGAAGCTCGTAGATATATAGTCCCGGGGGGAGGGGGGGGTAGTGGTTCTTCTTGATTAAGGATATAATTCCCATTATTGATCCTTTAAAAGAATAGTATAGAATGATATGTGGACTTCCTGTTCGGGCCTATTTTAGATATAAATTATTTAATGTGTCAAATTTAGTCTTTGAAATTTATCCAAATTAGCCCCACACCCTATAAATTCTATTTAAGGTGAAGGAAACATCACCAAAAAGGTAAAACTAGAGGGCATATCTGTATTTTCGCATTTTTCCATATCTTCTCATTTTTTCCAAATAAGAATCCCCAATTTCATTTTTAGCTTGAATTTCAATTCCTACTCGAGTTGTATATCTTGCAAAATGAGAAACGCCAAAGGAGCACAAAAATCAAAGATTACGCTATAAAGCCTTTCATGATATTTGTTCTCGATGCACAGTTCATCATGATTTTTGTTATCCATCCATTGCTCACCGTGATCTCACATATTTGTTCTCCACACTATGCTCATAGCAACCTCCAACCTCCCTACTTCTCCGGCATTTCTTGTTCTGTAATGGCCACAGCTTGAGTAAAAAATGAAACTAAAGATTGAGATAGATAAAAATAGAAGCCGTAGAAAAAAGTAAGAGATTGCTATACCCTTTAGCAACAAGTTGAAATGGTGGGACTAATTTCGATTAACTTTGAGGATTTAGGTACTAAATTAGGAAATCAAATAATCTAAAAACTAAAATAAGCTCAGCACACAGTAAAGGGATCAATTTAACCATCTGTATCAACTTATTATATTCTCATTTAAAGGCCTTCTTACAAGTCGTTAAAATATAATACGTTTTTCTTCTCCATGCCTCTCAGCAACTAATAAGAATCCTTTATTACAAAAAAATGTGTTTTACATATACAAAAATAATTAGAAGTAATCAACATATAATCAAAATAGATCAATCATAATCTTCAAAAAACATATGAAACGCAAGACTTTTATGATAGAATCTAAGGAATAAAATAATACTTGATAAAATACTTATTACAATATCAATCATAATTCGAAATATTTTAGCATATATAAAAAAAAAGTACAAATAAGGTAAGTGATGATTTGTCTGATAAGTGTATCTTTCCATCAATGCCTTTATTTATTTGTTGAAACAATTACCTAGTTAGAATAATATTTACCTTAAAGTATTATATGCAAAAAGTATATGTATATAAGATATATAAGTTATCATTATTCTAATAAAGAAAATATACCGTGCCTTTGCGCTTTGTGAATTCAAGCAAGCAAGACCCTTGCGCTTAGCGTTAACATTAAACTTCTGAAAACACTAAATATCAAAGAAAGCAAAGTTCCTTTCGAGTGAATTTAAAAAGGAAAAGCAAATCCTCATAAATAAAGATCTTATATTTTCAGTACATAACTAAAGTTCTAACCATTGAATGTAGTATTTCTTCATAAATGACACTGGAGAATCCACAGCCAAGTTGTTAGCAAGCCAGACCTCCGATATGGCACCTAGAAAGTATCCAATGGATATCCTCTGGTAAATGTATGAAGACAATTAAACACAGAAGGTTTATTGAGAGTGAGAGAGAGCATAGAGCACAAGAACAACTAATATAGAAGTACAACCAGGTTCTTTCCTGTAAACTATAGACAACAAAGAACATACACTATCAAATTACATAGAACAACTAAAAACTATGCATAACTATCTCAGGAATCCATCCAAATTACAAAAGTAATGAAATTTCATGAGAATGACAAACCGAAATCATAATCACATCAATCACATATTTATGTATAAATGAAGCGTATCCTCAGAATTAAACAGAAAAACAAATGCAAGCTATCATACAATTTTCATTATATAAAAATGACCAAATCAGCACCATTAATGATCGCAATAACTGGTTATAAATTATCCTTGAAGGCCATCTTTATGCTACCTTTAGGCCTCACATTTTATAATTAACTGGCTTGACTGAATCAAAAGATTGACCCTCTCGTGCTTAAAATAATAACAAATACATCACCGAAATGGCCATAGTTAAAATCCATGAATCGTATGACAGCAAATAATAAAATATTTTTCCATTAATGGAACATATTGTGGCATCGCTCAGCATTGTATTGATAAAGCCGGTCTGGAGAATGGAGAACTATTTCATAATGATAAAAAACTAACAATAATAACACCCTATTTTGCATGTTGCTCGTGTTTGTCAATTTGATACAAAATTATTTTAAAATCAAAATTAAAAAAAATCATTCACCTACCTTAGATAATAAAACATAAAGAAAAAATATGAGGCGGGGAGCTTGCAAAAGTCCTCATCAATGAAGGACCTTTGGGGCAAACAAAACAGACATTGTTGGAATTAGCCGTTGGTGGCTATAATGAAGAAGAAAAGAATATTGGGAAGAGATTTGGGACTAATATTTATAAAGATTGCAATTATCTATACTCTATAGGAGAACTATTCCGACCCAATTCAATGTAAAATAGGACCATGGACATGTACACCACCCAACTCCTATGTATGTACATATCTAAACTTTGCTTTTATATTTATGCCACCCAAATCTTTTATCACACATAAAAATAACAGTATTATAAATTTTAAAGTAGTAAAGTACACGTTTCCATGTATAGACAAAGTGGCATATATGTAAAAATTGAAGTTTGGGTGTAAGATATGTAAATACACAAGAATTGAGTGACATATATGTAACTCCTCCAAAAAAAATAATTATTTTTGCTACCCGCCTAGTTTGGATGTGATTCTGAGTAGCAATTGCAGAATAGTAATGTAAATATAGATATATTCTCCTTGCAATTATAAATATTAAAGACCGGATTCGCTAACTAGCAAATGTGGTGGCACTAGGCATCCAATTGTGGTAATAAAACCATGAGATGAGTTGTGTTACGGTAGTTGCAAGGATCATCCCAATGAGTAGATTGCATAAGATCGAATGCAAGTAATTGAAAAAATCTCGCATGCTCCAGGTTGTCTATTCTCTTACTAGAGTTAATGTATGCTTGACCAACATCTAGTTGCATAACCTAGTGTTGACCTCATTTTTGGTGAGGTCTAGTCTTTCGCTTAGGGTTTAGGATCTAGCCTTAAGGATCTCTCTTCGATTATCTTAGAACCTTAGAAATGGGACACGCCCGTTTTAGAAATTCAACCCACTTCTGTATCCTTTTGAAGTTTCGCGTGTGTGATATCAACTTCTAGCACTACATCCGTTTTAGAAATTCAACCCACTTTTGTATCCTTTTGGAGTTTCGCGTGTGTGATATCAACTTCTAACACTTAGAAGGATGAAACCAACATAAGGAAACCCAAAAGGGATTCCTATAGGACCTTTTGAGCCTTAGGGTGGCCTTTTGCGCAATTCGCACTACCGCGCGCACAAACTTTGCGATTCGGAGAATCAACGCGTCCGATCGCTACAATTCACATCGCTTGCACTCGTCTGATCGCTACAATTCACATCGCTTGCCCTGTTACCTGTCGAAGACTCGAATAGACTTTTTGAAACGATCGATCGCGAGTAGAAACTTCGTAAAATTTGAATTTTGACGCGTTTTTTACCCAATTGTCGACGACGTAATTGTCGACGACGTCGTTCGAGCGACCCCAGATGACAAAACAGACTGCACCGGCGCGCCCGGAACGTCGATTTTGCCTAGGGAGGACACCCATTTTGTTACGACACCGCGCGTGAATAAATCACATATGAATTAGTATATATATATATATATATATTAATTTATATAAACCAAATCTTTCCTTTCCTCTTTAAGCCCTAAATCCCTAAACTCACGCACCCGAGCTCTGCCTCCCTTTTCCCGTTCGCGTGTCTGGCCTTTCCCTTTCTCGGTCTCGAGCCAACCGAGCTATTCCCCCTCCACGCGAGAGAAAGTTGACTTCTCATTCTTCCTTGCCGGACATTTTCTGCCCGCGGCCCTCCTTCCCGAAGTCGTGTCAGTCTTCCCGAGCTGTGGTTTTCCTTTTCTTGGTAGTTTAACTCTGGGAAGCTTGTTCCCTGGTACACTTGAATAACAAACTCTCTCTTCTTCCCGATACTTTCCTCGCTGCCAGTAGGCTCGCCGCTTGGTCCTAGATGTTTCAGTTGCTTCGCCTTCTGTGGGTAGGG